CATTTCTCACGACGAATTGCTTCCGACATCAATCGAAATGTCATCGGCATGTTCCTGCAACAGAATATCCTATGCTAGGAAGCGTTCATGCTTCGCGATTTGACCGATTTTATCGCGCGAGTGTGTTCAACGGCGCTTCATCGGTAATTCTTGAACAGCTGCAACGGACAAAAGAAATTTTCTCGAACGTTATTGGATTTGCAGTAGCTGCGGTCCAAGGATCAGCGGTGTACGGTACGTCTATGTCAACCTTTTTCGTCGGTCCACCTTACCTCTATAAACTGCTTGATGGCAGTGGTGGTAATCTTAGTTCCTACGACGCCAGCCATTCACTTGAGTAGGTAGCTGTCGGACAGGCTGGCCAGTAAAAACATCCCGAAGCGGGGTGTTCTTCAACTAAAAGTAGTTTGACAGTGCGCCGTTAGAGACCGTGGCTGAATTTTAGGATTGATTGGGATTGGGCTGATCTGTAAATTAACGTTTTCAACGAACAATTCACTATAGGAAAGGGGCAAATCATAAGTTACAACGACCAGTGTACGTCGCACGTCGAGGACTTCCAGCAAGGAGGTTATATTTGGTCGCTGACGGAGGGAACTTGAATTTGCCTATGAGAAAAATGTTTTCCGTTGTTGACTTGTCTAGGTTTTCCTGTTTTGAATTCAGTAGACACATCGCCCAACGGCAGTTTCTTGGGGAAAAATAGAATGATCCTTGAAAAAATCCAAGAAAAGGCTTGATGAAAACGTACACAGCCAGCCTGGCAATGGATTCCATCTTCAACGGTTTTTGTTGCTGTCACTTTTGAACGTCTTGGTTCAATTTGTATTGCGAGTGATGTTCGTGAACACAACAGGAAGAAAACAGGAAAATGGAGTAACCTCTTTATTTACATTCATAAAGTCATAAACAGTTACAAATCCTATAAACGCTGCTTATTGAAGCAGCGATCTAAACTGACACGTACGCGATTCTAATGATTGCTCTATCCCTATCACATCTCTGGCATCTTCCAAACTCGGTAAGGCCAAGTTGGGACTCCGCAATGACGCGCGTCTACCACGGCAGTGGCGCTCCAGTGCCCCAGACGAGAAAATCGGTCTAGATCGGTGCTAGTGTTTTGAAAGAGATAGAATGACAGTAGGGGGAGGAGCGCTCCTTCACGCGGTCTGGTGGCCTCCTTTTCTTCCACACTCCCTACACTAGCGGCTGGCGCCGATCAATACCAAACCGCGATCATAAAGCCTACCTTATTGTTATTCTATACTCTCTCAAAGCATAAGCGTCGGGTTTGATCGATAAACGTATGCGGCTGAGTTTAGCTCTATAGTACTGGAACGCCATCGTTATGGTCGCTTGTCGACGGGCGTTACCGCGCGTTGCAGCGCTCAGCGTGAAGTCTGAACGCCACCTAGTGGTTCCTGGCCTATATTTTTGAGAGACCCGCGAAACTGGAGCCCGAACTTCTGCTGAAAGGATCTCTCTGCTAGTCATTTATATCGGTGATCAACGTCGCGAGAACATGGTTGCACTATTCTGTTGAGCGCAAGGTTTATTAAGAGATTCGTTATGGTTTGACTTGGGAGTGAAGAAGAGAGGTGTTTTGCTAGGACAAATATCCTTCATAAAACGTATCACAACGTTTAGCTTCGAAGAAGAAAACAAGTTCCTGCTAGGGCGAAGATCCTTTACGAAATACATCACGGCGATCGGATTGAGAGCTGGTGACCACGCGAAAAGGAATGGCAGATAATTAGATATCTCATCCGTTTCCAGGTTAAATAGCGGCGCCAAGCAACATGCGCAGAACGGTATTTGTATGAATAAGAATGGAACGATGAACTGAAAATAAGGGGTTTTTAAAAGAGCACCAGAAAAGCAGAAAAAATGGTTTTTTTCGTCCGCGTAACCTTCATGGATGGCAGGGTGCGTCGTTCGTTAAGCATTCCCAATGAGGTGTTAGGGATTCATATTCAGTCGCTGGAGGGGAGCTAGGGCCGTCAACGGTCTGGAATTTCTTTCGTTTTTGATTTCTCTCGTTTTGCTCGCGCTTTTTGTTCACATATACTTGGATATTTCGCTGAGATGAAGGTGTGATGTCAGGTGGAGGGAGGGGATGGGGTGTGTATTAATAAATGTGGGGAAGGGGTGGTCGTCTTCAGCTAAGACTGAACCTAACTATAGGGCATGCCTTGATGGGTGTGGAGTTGTTGCGCCCTATGTTGCGCGCAGGAGCCCAGTATTTCATAGCGGCCACTGGCATGGCGTTACAGTTGTCTTGAGAGACGCAGAGGGTGCTGGAGCGAACGCTGGATACGTCGGTCCGCTTAACTCCTCGTTCCGCGGTTCCGCGACACGAAAATAACGCCCTACACCTAACCCACATAGGTAGCTTTCTGAAGTGCAATGATTCCCTTCACGTTTAAAAGGATCCAGAGAGCTCTATTTGTAATGGATACGCTCAGGCCGTCTCAGCCAGTGCGAACCTTTGTCACGAAAAGGATCTCACCTGTACAACCAGTGTATTCAGAACCTGTTTCTGAAGAGCAGCAGATCGTACACTAGAAGCACGTTTTACAGTGACTAAGATGCGCCGTGAGCAGATAAGCATTGCGAATAGGCTGGACAAGAGAATACACACAATATAGACACAATACACCAAAAGTATATAGGATCGCACCTCGTCGTTAGTGTCATTTTTAGGCTGAAAATTTACATTGTTAGTTAGAATGGAGACAGGAAAGAGGGCATGATTTTACTTCACACACACAACACATGTGCAATCGTCATTCCAGAAAACGGTTAGCCGGCTGAACGAGCGCAGACGCGCGTGCAGCGATGACTGCGTTATGTGGGAACTGCTGGCGAGAGACAATTACTTAGCGCCCTCAAGTTCCATGCGCGCTCAGCACGCGCTGCATATGTCTCCGTCATCTTTTCATTGACAGTTGATCCGAAGCAGCTGTTTCCAGCATAAATAAGCCATTTTCTCGCCCTTTCCTTCTCTATTCGGCTGTAGCTCTTCTTGGTAGGTTTTTATTATGAAGTGGATAGACCCGAAACTTGCTCGATACGGTCTGATTTACGCTATTTCGCCTACTCACTCATCCCATTTCTCAGACAGGGTGTAGGCTGGGGAATCCCCAGCGGTTATTTCGGAAAGTGAAATTGTTTGATAGTTGTTTTTTTCTCTTTCGCGCGCTCTACCCACAACTTTGAGGAACTCTCATTTCGCGGGAGTCGCAGTTAGCTGTCGTTTTGAGAGGTGGGGGAGATAAACCGTATCTGGCCTTGGGGAAATTGTTCCGCTGACTTTTCACGGGTTTCCCCATGCGCTGTTGTGCGGCGCCGCTAGCCAGCGCTCTCCTGTTGGACCAAACGGACACAGAAGCTTTCTCCAGGCATCTTGCCCTTGAATATGAGAACGAGGATCGTTCGTTCTTTTCTTTGACATGGGTGTTTTGCATACTCATCTGACACCGGCCGTTGGAGAGGAAAGTGCGGGAAATCGAGCGCATCGAGCCAGGAATCAAGGCGGAGGAGGAGCTGCGTGACCTGCTATGGTTAACCACATTATAATTGTGGAGAACCATGTGCCTACGAGTTGCTGAGTGGTCTCTTCTTTATCTACGCCGCAGCGCCAGCAGTCTTACTGCACCTCGTGGTAGGTACTGATGATGATGTGCTGCTGTAAGTAGGTGGCTGAAAAATAGTTTTCCTTAAGGTTGAATGACTGCATTCAACCTCGACAGCTCACAAAAAAGCATTAGGTACGAGAGCTCTGAAAGCAGCTATTCAGAGTACCGCGATAAATTTAGAATGCAAGCTGCGGCGTTGAACAACAGTTATTATGATAAAACATTTCCCGAAGTTATGAGATTTTTACTCAGTCACATGTGCGTATCCGTTGTTCTCTTTGATGAGGAATGATTTTTATGTGCGAGCCTGCTATCAAATTCATTGAATAATGTGAAACTCGGCACTCTTGTGATATCCTTCGCATCGCGCACTGCAGCGCTGAACAGCAGTTGTCAAATTGAAGCTTTGTTACTTCTCATGTTTCAGTGCTTCCTCATTTTTCCACTAGTCATTGGTATACTCTTGTTTGCTGCGGAATGAAAAGACGCGTCAGGCAGTAGTGTGTGCCATGGAGCCGACTCGATCTCTGCTAGTTGTTGAAGTGGTACGTGAGAACAATTGGTAGGAAACGAGTGATACAAACAATATGATGCAGTCTTGTCACATGCTCGCTTCTAGAACTAGGTGGAGAACGGGTTCGGCATGCACCCCGCCAAACCCATCCAGCCTGACACGCCCTTTCGTCCGCAGCGAAATAAATAACATAATTCTGCAATGTATTAGGAGAAATTGAAAACACTCAAAAGCTGACCCTAAGACAGGCGACGAGATACGCTCGATGCTCGTTTAAGTTGATATGCGAAGCGATGTCGTTGAAGAAGGCAAGGTCAGCTTCATCCGGATAAGCCGCAATAATCAACATAGCAGCGGCTGACCAAGCGAGAAAAAAGGTTATCAGGAATATAAAAAACGAACGGTGCCCATAAATCGTCATCCACTGTGATCTGTTAAAAAAGGAGGATCAGGTCTGCTTACGAAAACGCCTCAGTAGTAAACCATCAAAAAATAGAAATATGATCTTATCCGTCGTTTACTCGGAGAAATCACCTTTCCCAACCCCCACTGCTTCATCTTTCATCCGGTTGGGCTTCACGAACTCTAAATGGGCGCTGCATGCTACAGGAATCCTCGATCCTGGTCAGAGTGGTGCAACAGTTACCGCGGAGCAAGTTGCTCGCAGAGGGAGAAACTTGCGCAAACTGATTGCGGAGCATGCTTTTGAAGGCTAGAACTTTTTAAATGTACAAGGTGACCCAGTACGCGATTGCAGAGGCTGTCCTACATTCGCAGTCCAGAAATTGGCAAGCGACGCATAGGAAGCTTAGGAATTAGGCTCATGAATGCGCAATCGGCCCGTGCCGGCCCACGTTCCTCAGGTCGTCATCATCATGCCATTCTATTCTCTCTGCCGTTATTCTCTGGTATCTCTCCACACATTCCGGTGTATCGTCGTCTTTCGCATATGATAGTTCAGTTTGACAATCTTATCTCATCCACAATCATGGTCATTTGCAAGAAGATGACTTTTTCTAAGGATGATTTTTCGGGCCTTCTTTACACTTTACAGTGAGTCAACTAGCGCACTGCACTTCTGTCTCTGAGCTCTACTGACTACGACGTACAATCGCGAAAGTGCCTTAAACAGCGAGACTGAGTGCACATTTATGAATCATCACACAATTGTTAAAGTACCTGCAGATTTGTAAATATTGAAAAATAAATTGGCTTGGTGAGATAATAATGTTAGTGCACAGAAGTATGATCCAGATCACAAGTAGAATCCGGCCGTAAAGAAACGGCACAAAAATACCTCCTTTCACGAATAGTACCGAAGAATCAATTGCCAACCGCTGCTATTGTCTGAACACACGATGTAGCAGAGAAAAAAGGTATCACCGAGCAGTCAAACTCGTAAGATTCAATAATGGGTCCGGAAAGTATCATGTAGCATCTCCTTACCTGGTATAAGAAAGCTTGCTTTCTCCGATAAAAAGTTGGTGGCTAAACATGGCAAGGGCTAAAATCCTACACAGTAAGTGTACAGCGAATCTTCGGGGAGGGAAGAGGCTGTATTATCGAAAATTGCCTCATACAAGGGGAACCGTTCTGTCGTCCTAGAGATGTCGTCCAACCACTGTGACCATCCCAGAGTAAACAGGAACAATAGCAAGGGGGATGGATCTACTACGCCCAAGAACTACGCTTATTCAGCAGGGAATAAACCGGCGCATACCGGGCAGGCAAAAGCCGTCAATATGCTGAATGTAAAGTCGAAAGCAGCTGATGACATAGCGATCCACTTGTGGTATCCGGTCGTTGTCGATTTGCTTTTCAATACTGTAAAGATTAAGAAACCGTTGAGGCAGACTGACAATGCACCGCCCACAAAGGCGTTGATGTTTGCGATATACCCGACGGCAGCACTCATTTATTCTGAAAAAGTACTCTAGAAGGCAAGGTACAAAAACAGCACGAGGCAGAAATCGGAGGCTCAACGAAGAAGTAACGCTCTCTGATTGCGCCATGGAGTCTATTCCCAATAAAAATTGCCGGAAATGAATGTGAGTTTCAATCCCACAATATTCAGGTGGACTGCTTATTGTGGAATCAAACTCATTCTTACAAAGGAAATTTACTAATTACAAAACAAATTACAGAAATAAAAAAATGTAGGTATCACAGCTTTTTATCATTGCGTAAGCTGGTCTACTTTTTGAACGGATGTTCTACTGTGTACTTTTCAAGGAACGAGCAGTAACACTGGCTAGCTCATTGTTAGTCGGAACTTCTGGTCTTTTCTAATCTACGTGACTAGACAAGCGTGACAGGTCTCAAGCTTTACACACCACTTGTTCAACATTATCCTTACAAAGTTTTTCCATCATCTGTCACAACCATAATTCATACATCTCGCTAAGAGGAGTTGTGTGCATTGTAAAATTGATGGAAGTACCGCTAAGTTTCGGGAAAAAAGTTTGGAGTCGAAATGGGGATGTGAAGATGCGCGGACCCTATATGAGGGCCCACACTTTGGTGGGAGGCTGTGGCACTGAATAGACAACGAAAGCCTTCTACTGTCAGCGGTAGATGGTCACTCGGATGATAAAACAGCTCGTCTCCCGCAATGCTAGAGCTTTACCGGCAGATACTCTCTTTGATGTCAATGTATATTCAAAACCTGGCGGTGACCAAAGCTGATATTGCTGGTGTCTGCGAGACGAAAACAAGAAACTGAGCTCCTGGAAATGGTGGAGCGGTGACGAAATTCCACTTGAAAAAGGTGACGACAAAATGTAAAGAGCAGGTGGAATCGAGTTTAATTATCAAAGCGAATAAGGTTGCGTGTATCGCTCCTTCACTACTCTCTCCGTCAATCACTATTTTGAACTTCAGATGCAGAGAAGTGGGGAGACGGACGTCCAGAACCGTGCACGTACGCGCCCATTTCCTCAGGCAGTGACGAAGATATCTCGTTTCTACAAAAAAAGTAGAAAACAGCTCTCAACTTGAAATCGATTGGGTCATCAATCAAGAGATTTTAACGCAGTTGTTAGCTTGCAAGAAGGTGGCATGAAGAACTGCATGTTGAAGCACGGCACTGGTGAGGGAATAACCGGGGGAAGGCGTCTGTTGACTGAATAACAGCTTCTTTTCCGATTAGCAGAATCTCCGAAAATAGCGCAAGACGTTAGTAGACGTGGAAGAGTCTTTAAGCGAGACATATGAATCAGACCGGCCACTTGCTGACGGACACCCTCAAACTGTTCATCGACATCCAGTTACCGGTGGGAGCGCAATAGCCTCCGTATACTCACAAGCTTGACGATTCAGCTTGATGGGAAGATAAACGAATGAGCTGTTCACTCGGAGAGGGTACTACGCGGCGTGATCTCAGGGTTTTATTATGCTTTCGTAATAGCACCTAGACTTGTAAATAGAACTTACAAAGGTGTTGTAGGACTACTATAAATTTGTCAGGAAAATAACGGCTGCTGTGAATCAGTGCATTGTAGCAGCAGGATCTAGTCGCCAAAGGATATCGACAAATTGGAATGACGGCGAGGAGATAAGTACGGCATGCGAGCGCAAAGTTGAAGGCTATGCGTAAAACCTCGAAAAAAGATAAGATGATGGAGATAAAGGAAATTTTGCAGAAAAAGAAAGCAGCAGAAATAGAATAAATCTGGAAGCATCGAAAAAGAACATACGCCACAAACAGCAATTGCTGGACGTAAGGTAAACGGCACAATCGCACTTGAGCATCCGACGCGGGTCCCGGCACGATTACCCTGAAGACGAAGCGCGCGCTCATACGATCGCACAACCACGAAGTATGAAAGCGCTCGTATTTTGCACAATCGGAAGGAAGCGCTCGTATTTTGCTTAATCGGAAATGAGGCGACCACTATTTTGCACAATCGGAAATCAGGCGCGCACCTGACGAATTTTAGAGGCAATTAAATGTTTCAATTCGAAATGCCTAAAATGGCTTGCTGGCTATTATAATGTACACTTCATTGAGATCACCCATTCAAGAGCGGAGTGAACCCTTTTGATCCCCAGTGTGTGTAATCATTTTTCAGATGTCAATCACTGTAAGGAATGTAGAAAGTCTCGCCATACTCAACCAACTTGATGGGGTCAAATCCAAAAGCTGGCCAAAATGCTTCACCAGAACGGCTCCACTGAGTCAACCGGGAATTATCTGAACCAACCCGTTGAAAGTTGAAGGCATAAATCAAAGAGTACACCTCCTTTTTCCCCAGCTAGAGTACTTTGTCAGAAGCGTTGCTTATAAATGTGCCCCATGCTTCGCATTGCTGAAGGCGCACTGTAACCGACAAAATGTTACACTCTAACGTGGCATGTAACTGCAGGACCCGCAAAATGAACGTGCCAAATTGCTTGAATTGCTGCGACAATGATGAAGTGTACAGAGGCTGTTTCCAACTGCTTCCTGCAGATCTTGAAGAAGCCGTTTCGAGCGCAGATTGCTTTAAGTTAAGGAAGCAGGTAGACTTTAAAGGAAATGTCCCCACTTTGATGGGCGAGGTGCCTAAACATGATGAGAAGGCGTTTGTTCCTCCTTACAGGACTTTACCTATAATTCAACGGAAATTTTGTGGGAAACGCCACATCATCAACATTATTATACAAGATTCGATGCTTTTGTGAGTATAGTGTGGTGATATTCCCATGTTGAGTTCATAGTAGTCAACTTAAGATGTTACTCGCTGGTGACGATAGTGACCATGATGCCCTAGCGCCGAAACCGTGACATGACGTGTGTATGCTGCGGAAATCTCCAAACATAGTTGAGTACGATAACATCTTTTCAAACATACGCGTGCTGTGCGGCTGTGGCACGAAAGCCGTTGAGCTGAGGGGTGAGAACGGCCGTGATGGCGTGCGTAACGGATAGCGCACAAGCCCTCATCGGGAAGTGTGGGTTGAGTCCTCCTCTTGTCTGACTTTTGCCTATAACTCAGCCTTATTATAACAACCCCAGAGATAGTCTTCTGCAGAGCTCGTTTCATTAGGCTGATCACATGTTCATCCTGTTTCTGTCAATTAGTTGAATACGCGTGAGGTGTCCTTTGTCTTCCTTACCTTCTCCTTCGATATCTTTGAAGGCTTAGCAAGCATTTTCTCGTTCAGCTCTGGTTCACTCACGATGTGGATTTGAGAACCTGGACATCGCTGAACCGCCGGTAAATGTTCATTCCTTTGAGCAACAGTATCGGAAATCTAGAATGAGCTTTTCAAGACATCATCTAGGTTGAATTTCTCTGCAAACTCTTCTCCGACAATAAGCCGTAATCGGCCGCATTCAATCTGTTTTGCTCAATGTTCAGCATTCTCAGTACGACCTCGTCTTGAGGAAACAAAGGCAATATAGTTGTCGGAGAAGAGTTTGCAGAGAAATTCAACCTAGATGATGTCTTGAAAAGGCAATATAGTTGTCGGCCGTCATCCATCTTTATTTTCAAATTTGTTTGTTCATTCATTTATTTAATGCGTCCATATAGGATACGCCATAGGTGAAATCAGCTGAGCACACAGGAGGAAAGTAGCCAAAAGCAAGGAACAAACCAAGTAAAGGCAAACATGGAACGAATGGAACGGAAGTCGTGCTGAGTGAGCGGCACAGTGAGCAGGGGCACCTCTATAGAAAGTAGAGCACTGCTTCAATCTTCAACAAAAATCCGCACCAGCTGGCCAAGGTGCCCTCTCCCAGCGATGGGCTCTTAGGACTTCCCGAAACTTCGAAACACGGGTATACCTGCTGCCCGCGTGGAATAAGTGAGCTGAATGTGTTGGAAAACCATGACAGCTCTATCTAGAATGAATCCTTCAATTGCAAGTATCACTTTAAAAACAGGCTAACTCCTCCTAATTAAAATCATGAAAAGATGCAGTAGTCCTGACCAGAGAGCACATTAACGAAACGTTAGGAAAGAAAATACAGAAAATATCCACTGCTAGCTTCTTCCAATGAACTCCCACATCAACAGCCGAAGGAAATCCCCAAATAGAGATTGAGAAACACTCGCTTCAGAAGAAGATGCCACTGTACAGGCCCGAGACCGCGTCCACAGCTAGGGAACCACAACACAGCAGAAACACAGCCTGACATACCAATATCATATGAACAGTACACGGGACTTTCCCCATTCGTCACAAGCAAAAGGTCTTGGACGAAAACCCAGGAACAAAAGACTCCACATGCAATTGTCTTGAAAATATATCACAGTGTAGAAAGTGCCCCTTGCCCATCGTTAACCAGTAATAAAATTATAAAACGTGTGCTTGACGTTGATGTGATGAAATTACTAAATATGCTGTTGATGTTTGATGAGCAAGAATTGTAAGGGGTGAGGGAGAATATCGCGAGATCGCTACAATCCGGTTGTTTCTTCCTCTCACTCTGATACTCTGATAGCACCGCTCAGAATGTTGACAGCTCCCTCACTAGAAGTTAATGGAAACGTCAATTATTATAAACCAGTCGACTCGCCGGCTGACGCTGGCGCGGCCCGCGCTACCTTTTTCCTATGTTTCAATACTCAGCTGATACCCAGCTTTTCTTTCATCTGTATACATGGTCAGCGCTTTTAACCAAAAGCATCACACTGCTGCTTCCAATACTATTACCCTCTATGGAATGGTGGAAAGCAGCGTTGCGAAAGGAGGTACGCATGGCGAAGCTGGGTGGTGTCACAGTGGGTTGGCCCACCTGGCGTGAGCCTGCGATCCAAGTGGTATTAACAGCAAAGAACATTAATACGTGCTCTGCTTATGAGAAATGGCGTGTTGTATAACGACACAGAAAAAAAATCCGAGAGAAACTACCAAAAGAAGCATGATATTTAGAGGGCATCATCTTTTTTTTTGTATTGAGGATCCAGCTGCATCTAGAGGACGATC